ACAAGTGGTGTGAAACGAAGCATAGAAAAAATATCCCTAAAAATGTCCAGAAACATGAGTGACAATTCAAGCGATGAGTTGTTTATGGACACACTATCAGACTGTTCTGAAGACATTGATCTACTGATAAGCGATTGTGAAGTTGACGACAATAATAGCACCATCGTTCCCATATATCAGACTAATCGACGAATCCTTTCGAGTGAATCGGAAGATGATTCCGCCGATGACTCGGAATCAAATGTTATCGTCAATGGCGTCGATGATTGGACAGAAGATGATATTAGAGTTGAACCGAAGCATACGGTCGAACTGCATGCATCAACACAATGCCTGAACATCTCGATATATTACCGCTTTTTTGTCCCATATTTGAGTTACGTTATTTATCCGTCATCTTTACTGGCCTTAATTCTCTCACTCCATTACCTATACTTTTTGAATAACCATTAAAAAATAATTATTATAAACTTCTAAATTCGAATTTTATATAAGCAATACGTGAAATTGTTGAACGAAATTGTTACCGTAAGATATAATTGATCGCATAAATAATTTTCGGACGTTTTTGATTTCAAATAGCGAATTTCAGTCCGTGCCACCTCAGAAAAATGCGCGGTGGTAACTGTACAGGTTTCTGTGGCGCGTGCGGTCGGCTAAGTGTTAAGATTACTTCGGTGACTGACCCTGATCCTCGAAGAGGACGTCAACGGCTTCCAATCTTTGTACCACTTGATTTCCGGGTAGGGTACACCGGTGACCTTGGCCATCAGTTGTCCGGTTTTTCGGACCATCACGATCACTTCTTCCGGTCTCTGGATAAAGGATGGGTATTCTGCGATCTGCAGCCGAACTCTCTGCCTAGCCTCGCCGTGCTCGTTGGTAGCCACAGCTTCGTACATCCCTTCGTCACGTTCGAGCATCCTGTTGATGAACAAGGTGGCCTGTCCGTTTCTGGTGTAGCTTTGATCGTATCTTCCACCGGATTCTATCAGATGATCGTTGAAGTAGTAGGACATCTTCGGCTTGGGGTAGCCGTAGACGAACCAGAACAGATTGCAGTTGTGATTCTTGACGCCGTACTGGGTGTCGTGCTCCTGTCGGAGGAACCTGGGCGCTTGGGCGTAGTTATCGTGCGGTGGTCTCTCGATGTCGAAGTCCTTCGGGAAGTAAGGGCTGGTTTCCGGGCGGAAATCGATGCCGGGAGGCAGGTAAGGGAAGAATTTCGGGGGATCGGGTTCCAGTTTAGCGCGGTACGTTTGAGCGAACGGCGACGGGTCGCTCAGCCCGTATTTATTCTCCACGCGGATTCGGAATTTGTAGTCCCTGAAGGGCTCCAGGTTGCGGATGTCGCAGACGCAGCTGCGAATTCCTGAGCGCGCGGTGAACCAATCGCCGTCTGGCAGCTCGCACATCTCCACCTGATACGTGACCGGGATTCGGGGACCTATGGGGATGGACGGCTTCCAGGACAAGGTCAAGTGACGATCCATCATCCTGCTGATGATTGGACGGTCGGCAAGCGGCAGCGGGACGCCGGATTTCCGATAGTTGTCGAAGTCTGCGTACTGGTCTGCCAGCGGTTTCTTTGGACGTGGTTCCAGCGCTGAAGAGGGGATTGCATAAAAGTTCAAACGCGAGCGAATTTCGATTAGACCGGGAAAAGAAGATTCTTACATTCGTAGATCAGCTCTGCCGTGCACGAGTCCGAACCGTGAGGGTTAACTATTTTCAGAACGTATTTGCCCGCGTCGAGCTCGTCCACGTTGGAAATCACAAGACGCAACAGGCTGCCTTCTTGCTCCGTTCTGATCCGGTCCGTCTGCCAGATTCGATCGCCATTGCGGTACCATTCGAACTCCGGCTCCGGATTGCCCGTAACGCAGGCGGTGAACTTGGCCGGCATTCCTCTGTACACCTCGCAGTCGCCGATCCTCTTCAAGAAGGACGGCGGTTCGATCTTCTGCATCTTTCCTCTGAAAAACAATATAAGCACGATAAAGCGTGAAATGGGGACCACAACGATTGGAATCGTTCCGAAGAAGCGTACATCTTATCAACCACGGCCAAGTTGGCGACGCACTCCGCTTCCCCGCTGCGGTTCACCGCTTTGCACTTGTACAGCCCGGAGTCATCGTAAGCGCAGTCCTTCACGTACAAGCAGCAAGCGTCGCCGTCTCGTTTGATCTTGTACTTGTCGTCGTCTTGCACGATCTGCTTGTCGTTGAAGTACCAGCTGATCTCTGGCCCTGGGACACCGGCTACGCGAGCCGGGAACTTGGCGTCGAAGGTGGGAAGCTGCTGGAGGTCCGTGAACCTCTGCGAGAAGCTCGGCGGTGTGTAGACCTTTCTGATGTTAGCCGTGGCATTGGTCGTGTCTTCGCCGAGTGGATTGGCCACGCGACACTCGTAGACACCAGCGTCCTTCGGCTCGCAAGGATTGATCTCGAGCTCGGTCTTCTTTCCGTCGCAGGTCACTGTCAAGCGATCGGAAGACGCCACAGGCGCGCCATCCTTGGCCCAGCTGACGTCTGGCACGGGATTGCCAACGAACGAGGCGGAGAGATGCAAAGGCTGACCTTCCTCGACGTAGACGTCCCTCATCGGATTCACGAAACCAGGTCTCTCTTCGGGAACTCCCTCTTGCTGTTTGCTCATGATGCTGATGGTACCCTTGCACGAGGATGTGCCTTCCGTGTTACCTGCTATCACCTGATACTCGCCCGCATCTTCTGGCGTGGATCTCTCGATGATCAATGCTTGACTTCCGTCCGGCAGATCGACTGTTTTTATACGTTGCCCGTCAGGCTTGATCTGAAAATTGACGACGCTTTAGGATCGATCTTGTCGATTCCACGGTCCCGACTGTAAATCGGTTTACCTCCTCTCCATCCTTGAACCATTGAAGCTGCGGCGCCGGTTTCCCTAGAACCTTCACCTCCAACTTGACTGGGAAGCCTTCGACCACGGTCAGAGGCTGCAGACTCGCTATGAACTCTGGTCGTTTCTCTTTCTCTTCGACCGTCACTTTAGCGGATCCAGAGGTCTCGCCCAGCGAATTCGACGCTGTCAAGGAGTAGGTGCCGGCATCCTCCGGGCGGGCGTTGTCGATTCTTAAACCGATCAGTCCATTCGGCTCGTTCATGAAATAGATCTCCTTGGAGTGTCGCAATGGTAGCCCGTCCTTGAACCATTGCACCTGAGGATTCGGGAAGGCGACCACTTGGGCCTCCAGCTTCAGAGGTTGGCCAACCACTGCCTTGGTGTCCTCCAGGGGTTTCGAGAAAGACGGTTTCCTTCGTTGAGCTACAACGATAGTACATTTTATCATCTGTTCTTCGAGCAAGTACCTAGACATCTGTAGCGACCAGTCGTGCGCACAATAGGATCTTCGGTCCTCGTGCAAACGGCCAGCGTAATTTACGACTCTCCTTCGAAGAAGCTATTTTTGAGATGACAAGTTCCAAACCTTGATAGCACATGTTTGCAATAGAGTTTTTTAAGAAATTCCTCAATAGCTAAAGAGACCGTCATAAATTAGGAGAGTTTCCGAAGGGTACTCGAAGCGGACCCTGCGACCCAAAGGCCATGTGGTCCGACGCGGGTGACCCGGAGGAAAAGTTCCACACGTTGTCGCGTACAACTCGTCGTCCCCTCCGATTACCACGCCGTCCCGAAAATACGCTGATTGGAAAGGCCCAACGCGCGGGGTTGACCGATCAGGGTTGTTCAAGAATTTTACCAGGGCAAACGGCGAAAGGAAAAAGCAGATTCGTTCACTGCATCGCGACTCGTCCTAAGACACAGTCCGCGAAAATCAAGAAGTTTTTACCACCGCACACGAGCGTACCAGTGATTTCGAACTATCCTACCCGAAACATCTTATAGTACTCACGTTTAATAGCTACAGCACAAAGAGACGTGTGTTCCCCTGTGGAGTTAGAGATCACCAACTTGTAAGCTCCGCAATCGGTTGGTTTCACGTTGTCGATGGTAAGCTTGATAGAACCATCCGGAAGGCACTCGAGCTTCACGTGTTCATCGGGAACGATCTTCTCTCCGTCCTTGAACCAAGCGACGCTCGGCATGGGACTGCCATCGACTTTAGCTTTGAGTTCCAAGGGTTCCCCTTCGTCGACGTCCAGTGACCTCGGTAAAGACTGACCGAAGGAAGGCGTGATCAGTTCCATCTTCAACTGGCAAGCAGTTTGGGCGCTTCCGGCGACGTTGGTCGCCTGACATTTTACAGTGCCGACGTCGCTTTGAGAGAAGGTTTTGATGGAGTAGGTGCTGTCCACGATGCCGTCCACGTGAGTGCTGATCGCGTGACGACTGTCTTCCCTGATCTCCTGGTCGTCCTTCAGCCACTTTATCGTGGGCCTGGGGATGCCAGTGGTCCGGATCTTTAGCTCCAGGTCGTCGCGGTCCTTGATGGACGCGTTGCTCAGTGTTTTGGTGAAGGTCGGTGTCTCGGCTGGAACATTTTCGAATTACAAACACAGGAATTTGTGTATAAGTATAAGACGATGCTTACTGTGAGGTTCCAGTTTCGCCTGCGCGCTCGTTTCGCCAAGATAGTTCTTCACCGACAAAGTATACACTCCCTTGTCTTCGACCTCGACGCTCTTAATGATAAACTTGAACTTATTGTTCCTCTTGTCCTCTTGGAAGTCGAATCTCTCTCCCTTCTCCAACTTTTTACCGTCCTTCAGCCACGTGATGTCCGGCTTGGGGTTGCCTTTCACGATCGCTACCCATTCTAGCGAATCTCCAACCGATTCCACCACGTCCTTGAACTCTTCGATCTCTGGGCGTAACAGCAGGTTGAGGAAAGCCTGAACAGTTCGAATCATTCGTTAATCCTCACAGTTGCCCTACACCGTAAATACCGATTGCTACTAACGCTGGCTTCCGCCTCGCCGTATTTATTCTTCAGCTTCAACGTGTATTCCCCAGTGTCGTCGCTGGAGGATTTAGGTACACCCAGCGTAATCGTTGATTCGGTCAATTTATCATTAGCTGGCTTATTCTGTACGTCGATCTTCAGTCGTCTGTCGTCCACAGGGATTTCTGCGCCCTTGAAGAACCTGCCCGAGCAAATCGAATTTGAAAGTTTGAACAATTTCAATGATGCAAGGCAAGGCGTATTTCTGGATTAACCTACCTAACGCTTCGGTCTTCGCGATGCAATAATACAACGCAGCAATCGTGTTTAATATTCAACAAATATTGGATATTGAAAGGCTATCGATTACTACTTACCAGGTGATTTCAGGAATAGGATCGGCGGTGATCGTAGTCCTGAACTCCCCGGAATCACCTTTGGCCACGTCAACATCGGCCAACGGTTCGATGAACTTCGGACGTCTCAGGTCGTCGATAGTGCCGACGGTGAGGTATCCTTCCGCGGAGTCCTCTCCAAGCTTGTTTGTCAGAATGAACGAGTAGACACCTTCGTCCTCGAGGATGGCCTTGCTCAGCTCCAAGTTGAAATTCTCGCCCGTGGCGGTGATCCTAATGCGATCTCCTGTTCGCAATGGTTTCCCGTCCTTGAACCATTTCGCGTCCGGCCTCGGCAGACCGGTCGCCGTGATGTCGAAGTGGACCTTCTGAGTCTCGTAGATCGTTAGATCGGAGAGACTCGCGCTGAGGATGTGCGGAGGCGCTACACGAACAATGAGAACATCAGCGCCCCTTTCATCGAGAATGACTCCGGGAGTCATTCAAAGTGTATCTGCGGTTTGCCGTGCAGCTAAATGCATCTCGCTTACTACGTGCTGCTTTTGTTATTCAACAGTTTGTTAAGACACTTCTCGAATGCCAAACAATGTTCTACTTCTTTACACGTGTTAGCTGTACCAACGAGTAAATAACAGCGTCGAAGAATGACAATTAGATTGGAAAGTTGATTACTTGTTGGTACGCCAAGTACTCGATTACTGTTTGCGTAATCATCTGTGCGGTAGGAACAAACCAATATGGCGGTGTTTTATGTAGTTACGCTCTACGCGTGACCTTAGAATACCGGGTTCGGCTGTGAATACCAATTGCAGTTTCGGGTATTTCAGGTTCCTAACGCATAAAGGATTCGCTTCCTATTGTTACAGCATTCCAGATATCGGCTTACCTTTGGTTACCAACTTCCATAGCGTTCTGGCAGTGTTTGACCGACCCATTATGCAAGCAGCGAGTGTTGGCTGTTTTGGTCAGAAACGCTAACAAAATTTCCAGCCTTCCCAGGATCGATCATCGTTCGTTTTTTGCTTTCATTCATGGTACGGTAATTGACTATTACGAATGTTCGGATGAATTCAATTTTGTTAGACGCTTCCGACATTGACTGTTAACGTGCACAGGCGAGAAGCGTGTATACGAACGTGTTAGGATGAAGTAACAAACCAGTTAGGACACATAGGAGCCAAACGGGACAAACGTGTCGCAGAAATCAAAAGCCAGTGATCAACGGTAAGCGAACAACGGCGAAGAATAACAGCCTGATCTCTGGCGCGTCGATCGACAAGATCCATTCCCGCGCAGCTGACATGACCGAGCGATCCACCCGTACCTGAGTCTCTGCTAGATTCCTTCTCAAGGATATCGTCAAGGACGCTGCGTTGCCGTTTAACGCGGTCTAGAAGCGCCTCGAGCTCCTCGTCGACTTCCTCGTCGGCGCTGAGAGCAGCCTTCAACGAGCTCTGCCTCGACAACGTCTTCTCCGTCGCCTTCAGCGACTCTCTCGAGTCCATTCTCTCGATCCTCGAGCTCTGCCTCGACAGACCGTTCTGGACGGACAGTTTCCGCTCCTCTAAATTCGTCTCGACCGCCTTCTCGGCGATCGAGTTCGTTCGTTCTATCTTCAAGCTCTGTCTCTTCAGCTTGCTTTCTTCGATCGTCGGAGTCTGCGGTTGCTCCAGCGTTTTCTCGGTAATCTTCTCCGACGAGGGTCTCCTCTCCATCTTTTTGCTCTCTTTGGAAAGTCCACCCGCCAGTTCGCCGTTTCTAGGCTCCTCCTTCAAGGTCTCCGCCACGGATTTCTCTGTCGACACCTCCTCCAACGATCGCTCCTCGACGATCGTCTCCGTGAGCAGAGTGCCTCTGAACGGTTTCGCCTCGTCCTGGATCTTCTCCTCGATCCCGTTCCCGTTGAACTCCGCGCAGGAGCCGTTCACGAGCTTCAGGTCCTCGGACAGCTCGGCGCACTGCATGTCGTCGGTGCTGACGTCTCTGGAGATCGCCTTCAAGGTCGACTCGTCGTCCGAGACGGAAACTATGGAGACACCCCGATGCACCTGGAGCGTCGTTCGATTGTCCTCGCTGGTCTCCGAGTACTCCTCGATCAGAACACCGTTCTGCGGCTTCTGACTAGACTCCTCCTGCACGGTGTAACTGTACGAGGCGATCTCCTCGACCCGAGGACGCTCGGAGTACGATTCCTGGCACTCGACCTTCGTCGCGGTCATCTTGCTGATCGTGTGGCTCTCGTCAGGACCTGCGAACGGCCTGGCTCTCGTCACCGATACCTTCGGACGCTACTTTTAACGCTATTACAGGCGAGACGCCATTTCGTTCTCTCGCTACGAGTCACCGGATTAGGCGAGAAACCCGCAGCCGCCTTTCGATATATTTCAATGATGCTGTCGCCACCCACGTAACCGCTTTTACTCCGTCCGAGGCTCGTGAAAGCTTTGTTCGGTGTGGCGTTATTTGCTCTCGCGACAACGGGCCTGGCGACTGACTAGGCTCTATTTATTGCTAGGACTAGAAATACCGACCAATTTCGATCGGTTATCACAATGAATTCTCTTTGAAGTTGACTTGTTCGAACATTATACCTTCGGCTGTTCAAAAATTGATTCTATCATAGTTTTGCATTCTGATTTCGGTCGCGAAACCCGCCACCGCGAAGATTGTTACACGTGCGTGCGCGATATTACCTGTGAGTATGGCTTCGTGGGTCGTCTTGGAGGCCACGGAGATCGTGATCGTGTCACCCTGGTCACGTATTACTTCCATACTTTGTGTCTCCAGCGTTACTCGACCTGAGATTTACACCAGACATAGTTTTTTCGGCTACGATCTAACTCTACGCTCAATCAGCCGTCCCTCAACAACTCTAATCGCCGATACTATCGTTACACATTGACGGCGACGAGTTTTTTGCACATCGTATCGCAAAAATTTCGGTAGATAACGCGAACAAGAAGTGTATACAAGATCAAAGTCAAACGAATTAACAAAGAAATCGAAAGCCTGTGTTCGCGCGAGCTTCTGCCCAAGAGTGCGGAAGTGTTCTTCTTATGTTTCTGCGGCTTTACTGCAAAACTTCTGCACATACGATTTTCAATCTTTCTGTTTCAAAAAAAGAAAAGAAAAAGAAAAGAGTTTCAGGTCGCGTTTTGCACTACAGCCACAGGTCTCGTTTGTGTGAAAAAAATAAGCAAGAGTTCGAACAAAAAGAGAGAGTCCCGGAGCGTTCAAAAATATCTCTTACCAAAATCTTGCGACATCGCGTCGATCATAGGACGTAGATCGAAGCCATCTCGAAGCGTTTCTATAGCGTACTTAAAATCTCTCTATACAGCTCACTCGTTTAGTACTCATCTCTCTAAATCTCTGATCGTGATTCCTGCGATCGATAAGATTACCTTCCGCTCCTGATTCCTCGGCCTGCTGTTTCTTCGCGTCCACTTCCTCCTCCACGATTTTCTCCTCTTCCTCGACCGTGATCTTCTTTATTTCCGTCTTTTCCTCGCTTTCCTCTGTTTTCGCTATGGAATTTATACACACAATGGGACACCGGGTATCGACAGAAACGGTTCGTGGTCGCGTTGTGTGCCGCGTTGACAACAGGAGAAGTGAACACATGTCAAAAAGAGGGAGACACGGCGGAAAACGAGTTATAGACACGTGGGAACATAGAGAAAGGCATTACACGAAGAAAAGAGAAAGAGTGTGAGTGTGAGTGTGAGTGACAGTGAGGTACGCGTCAATTGTCGGGTGTTTGACGCGACATTTTTAACGCTTGTATCTGGTTTCCGTGGTCTTGTTACAAAGAGACCTCTGTTGTGTTTTTGTTTTTGTTTCGTTCATATCGGAAACGGTCAACAACAAATCGAACACGAAACTGTACCTTTGCTAGAGCAGTACTTACTGAACCTTGGAAAAACACGGCGATTCGCTAGGGTTTCGCAGAAACTAAGAATGTGTACGGACACGTTACGCGTTTGATGAACTGGTCCATCGAGACGTTTCGCTTTGGAAAATTATTCTGTTTCGTTCGATCATCGTTCCGCTAATCTCGCGCTCTCACCGATCGAGAGGGAATCGTTGTCGATGGAACAGTGCAACAATTGGACCGAGAGCAACGCTTAGAGGTCGGCCATGGTTCTTTACGATGCATCGAAAACACAGTGATTCCAATCGTTCCAAATCGATGTCATTGTGCGCATAGCTCAATCGTAACCCATACATAACTTCGTTTCGAACACTTATCAATGGATAGAGGATAATTACACGAGCTCAAAGTTTAAAACGTAAATGTATCCAAAGTCTATAAAAATGTAAAAAAAGTATCAAGATAATCTTTTTAATAGAATAGAAAATTTTATGGTCCTTATTATCACGACTATATAAAACGATTTCTAAGTGCGGATAGAAAATTTTCTTCTTCAGGATAGATATTCTGGTCTAACATCTAATGCTATGCCAAGAATGATCAGCATTGTTCTGAATCTACAAAGATCAGTATGGTTCACAAGCATCGCCGACCTCGAAGCATCGATGATCTTTGAGAAATCAAATGGGCCCTTACTCATGACGATGACTTTGCTCTTGCTGGTCACATAGCCGAGTTCATTCTCGGCTCTGACTTCGTAGACACCGCCATCGGCACCCTTGACCAAGGTGACCGTGAGATCGTAGCTCTCTTGACGCTTGCTGTCCCTGGAGATCTTGATCCTAGCGTCTGCCGATACTTCCTGCCCGTCCTTGAACCATTTGACCTCAGGTTCCGGTGTGCCAGCCACCTCGAACACCAGCTTCATGGTGTCTCCCTCCTTCACCCTCATGTCGGCGAGCTTCTTGATCAGTCTAGGTCGCGTGTTCACCGTCAGGGTCGAGCTGGTCTTGATCTCGCCGTACTCGTTCCTGAGCACGCAGCTGTAGGTTCCCTTCATCTCCGACTTGACCTCCGACATCTGTAGCTTGCAGGAGTTCTCCTCCTCTATGCGAGCGTAGTCTTTCTTCTTCTCCGTGATCTCGATGTCGCCGATGTACCAATGGACGCTCGGCTTCGGGAAACCGTCGACCTCCACAGCGAACTCGATGTTCGTGGCACCCTCGTTCACTGTGACGTCCGTCATCGTCGATTTGAATCTCGGTATACCTCGGACCTGCGGAGTTCGTAGCATTGTTTGTAAAAATATGAACGGTACTTTTCGCTCCGTACAGTTACGCGACTGAAAAGACGAACGCTCCCTACCTGGATCTTTGTTTCATCGGACACAGTGCCATGCTCGGAGGACACCTCCGCTTTATACATGCCAGCGTCCTCACCCACCGAGCTCATGATCTTTAGGATGAACTTGTTTCCTTCCTTCACCATTTTAACGCGACTATCTTGTTCGATGATCCGTCCATCCTTGTACCATCTAATGGAAGGAGGCATCTTGGACTCAACGTCCACGGACAAGAAGAGATTCGCGCCATTGTCGAGGATCTGTGGCTCGCCCAATCCTTTGACGATCTTCGGCGGACTAAGAACACGGACTTTCCAGATCTCCGTGGTCTGATTGACGTCGTTGCGAGCGACAATGGAATAAGAACCAGCGTCGTCTATCCTAGAGTTCTTTAATATCAGCTTGTAAATATCGTTCGCCTCTTTCACGATACTGATTCGGCTGTCCTCTTTAATCTCTTGCCCGTCCTTGTACCACTTTATTTCCGGCAGAGGCGTAGCTTCGATCTGTAACTTCATCGTTAAAGTATCGTCGACGGCGACCGTCAGATCGGCTTGCTTCTGGATGACTTTCGGGGCAGATTTCACGATCAGCTCGATCTGCGTGGTGTCCTCTCCTAATTCATTCTTCGCCATGATCGTATAGACACCGGCGTCCTTTGCGGTGACATTCTTGATCACCAGGGACATCGACTCTTCGTCCTCCCAGAGATACTTATACCTTCCACCAGCGACGATCTCCTTGCCGTCTTTCGTCCACTTGATGTCCGGTTTAGGGTATCCTCTGATCTGCAGCTCCAGCATCGCCGAACCACCCGCGCTCACCTCGGAGTGTCTAGCTTCGGAAGCCAACTTCGGCCTCTCTGGGTCCTTCAGAAGCTGATTCACTGCTCCTTGGACGGTCAACTCGGCGCTACAGCTGATGTTGCCTGTTAATTCGAATCGAAACGAAATGAATCACTCTTTTGACCATGACTTTGATCCAGCTTCGGCTCTACCTGTGCTTGTTTGCGCCACGCAAGTGTAGAGACCAGCGTCTTCCGGCCTCACATGTTGGAACACCAGCGCCAACGTATCCTCGTTATCCTGGAAAAGAACCTTGAACCTTTCTTCCGGGTCGAACGGCTTCCCGTCCCGCAGCCAGTTGAACTGAGGCTCCATGCCGGGCTCGAGGAAATTTTCCGGGAGAAAAAGCACCTTCTCGTCGGTCACCGTCACGTTGGCTTCGCAGGACGCCTCCCCGAAGCGATTTTTCGCGGTGCAAGAGTACTTCCCGGCGTCCCCTTTCTGCACGTCCCCTATCACCAGTTCGTAGAAGCCCTTCTCCGACTGCTCGGTGATTATTTTCACTCGGGTGTGGCTTTCGTCGATCAGAGTGCCGTCCTTGTAGCTGAAATGAACGCACGATCGTCGAAAGATATGTTTCCAGATTTTCGAAATGGTAAAAATACTTGTTGGCCAGCTTACAATTTCATTTCAGGGTTCGGGTCGCCTTTTACTTTCACCATGAACCGCAGGAAGGTGTTCTCCAAGAGCTCCGTGTCCTTCAGTAGCACCAGGAAGATGGGCGCGTTGGCTTCCGCTCTTGCTTTCTTCTCCTCCGGCGTGACTGTGACCGATATAAAGTGATCAGTAATTATTTATTTAGACCAAGTCACCCATCTAGATATGCTCCAACGATAAACTTACGTTTCTGTACGACAAGCTGAGCCGTGCAGGTCGACTGTCCCTCGCTGTTCATGGCTCGAGCGATATAAATACCAGAATCCGACTCGAGGACATTCTGGAGGGTGAGCTTGAAGGTTTTCCCAACTGCGGATGCTGTTACACGATCAGCCAACTTGTCATCCAGCGGTTTGTTATCCTTCAACCACTGTACCAGAGTTGTCGAATCGGTGTACAACAGGGTGCACTCGAATGTGGCCATTTCTCCAGCTGCGCGAAGAAATGACAACCGATCAGAAAATAACAATAAATATCGTAGACGAGATAATTTACCCTGTAGGCAAATTTTGTTATTTGCTTGGCGATCTTCGCTACACATTTATATACAAGAGTATTCGATCTTTGCTAGAAAGATTGAGAGGGGGGGGGGGCGGTATATTCTACTGACAATTATCTCTCTCTGTTGTCAGAGAGTCTCGGGGGAATTCTAATATACTAAGAGAGTCTCGCTAAATGTACAAAGCTCTATTGTCTTCTCGATTGATATATTTCAATGATCTGTATCCGACAAATCGGTACTCAAACGTAATTGTTTAGTGCTACGGCGATTATGCATCTCGGTTCTAAGAAAAACTCTGTGGGAGCGACCGATGAATACTGATGTAGGAAATACGACGATAAAACAATTTATAGAAAGATACGTAGAAAGATGTGAAGGTGAGAGAAAGAGCGAATAATAAAGCGTGTTCGTGGTAAGTGTGTGAGTGTGCACAATGATTGAAACATTTTGTTTCGCGAGTGTGTGTAGCGTGTTTTACTATGAATGAGACAGATCGACAACATCTAGGATTAGCAATGAAGCTCAACCAACCGCCTAGTGGAACGTGAAGAAGCGTTTTACTCAGCCGGCTAGAAGATCAACAGGAGAACATAGAAAATAATATCAATGATACAGTACGATAGAAGACTGAGAGAGAAAAGTGCGTAGTACAGTGGATGATTCAGAATAGTAGGCAAATTGCGTGTCACTTTACCTACGGCGTGTATCAATTCCACGTTATTTTCTGGTATCGCTAGAACAGTAAAAATGTCTCTTATGTCACGTGCTCCGATCTCTACCTGCTTTCTTGATCAATTTCCTCAATATTATTCTTAAAGCTAACGTTCGAACATTGCAAAGTTAAAGGATGCGAAGATTCCGATATCGAATCTCGAACGACCGATCCGAGATCGAACGTTCTGTCGAACATCGGTTTCGTGCCGCCTTGGAAATTAGGTATTGCTCGATCACTTACGTTCAATACTGGAGCCTTCGATCGTTTTGACGAACACGGGTTTTGTCGTTGCGGCATCGGCGACACTCGCGATGCTTGTTTTGGTCTCGATCGTCGAGACATTCCCAGCTTGATAGCTCGAGCTACTCTCCATCCTCATCGCGCTGCTCGATGACTCCACCGTTGTCGCAGCGACGCCATTGCGGCTGCTGGACACCGCCGAATACTCTGCAGGAACACGTGGCATCAATATTACACACTCTATAACTTTGAAGAAGCTTGTCGCGTTCTCGCGATCTATTAGCCCTGACAATTGTGCCCATAATTATGAAAGTGGTCTAAGTCAAAATTAAAAAAAAAATGAATTTATCACTTATTTCGCACGACATGATTTTAAACTAAATTTATTCAATGTAATTTTTACGATATCGTCAAAAATGAACCTTTAGATAGTAGTTGTAATTACAACGTTACACGGAATTCGTTTAGTGTTAATTATGAAAGTGGTCTAAGTCAACGTTACTATGAATTGATCGAAAATTGTAGAAAAAGAAATACATTTTCGATCAAAGGAATGTCGCAGCCGGATTTTATTTCAACGAAATCACTTGAAAAATCAATAACAAGGAGAGTAGAAAATACCGCGGGCGAATCTGTCTCTTGGCTAAAAATTCAATGGATGAGATTCTTGAAAAATGAACCTTATAAAATGTTTTGTAAGACTTCTTTAGATGATTCTGAATTCCAAGTTTTGGATCATTCACCTAAAAGAGGAAGACCAAAAATATACGAAAATTTTCGATTACTTCCATTATACAACAGCACTAGACCAGTAACGGAAGAAAAACATACAGATCTTATGTGTTTACTACCATACATCCCTCCAGTTTTTCAGGAACATTTTAAAAATCTTAAAAACTCGAAATTATGATAAAAATGGATTACTTTTTAAAAATGATTAATAAATGTTTATGAATTATTTCGTTAAAGTTGTTGTTTCAAATGGACCGTTTATTTTGAAAGTGGTATAAGTCCTTTTTTTAAAGAAATTCAAAATGCCGAATCTGAGCTTGTATTTTCTAAATACCCCACGCAACGCCACTTACAATTTCTTTCGATGACGTTGGACTTACACCACTATTACTTGAAGTCAATTATAGGACATTCAGTTAATTTTGAAAATGGTCTAAGTCAATTCAAGCTTTAAAAACAACATTTTCCTATGAAATTCACACAAAATTTCATATCTATAATAAATTTCCATTAATCAAGTCTAATAAAATTATAAATTAAAATGTCGCATAATGTAAAAATATTTTTTAATTTATTCAAATGCGATTCATTAAATATCTCGAAACACACAAGAAATATATGACTTAGACCACTTTCATAATTATGGGCACAATTAATCATCGCAAGTGGAGAGTGCATCTAACCATTTGCAAACAAAGGCCGAGACATCAGAACTGCACATTTTATTCCAGAAGCATATAATCTGATGTTGCGGATAACAAAAGATCAGGGGTGATTAATTGCTGTGCCTTTGGTTTGTTACCGGGCACAATTAACTTTACATCTCTATAGAGTAAGACGTACTAAATTTCTTATATTCTTTTATTTTGTTTATTTTCGACTAAAAACAACATACTAAATTTTTTATTCATAAATGAACCGAAAGAATATATCTGATAATTATGCCTGAAAAACAAACCAAAGGCACAGCAATTGGCCCCATTACCCTAATTTAGTTTTCCGAGGAGAATACTAGCAGAGTTTTGAAAATGTTTCGTTCGCAAAAAGGGCTAACAATATTTCAGCGTGCTAGCGCGTGGAAGGTTCAAGTTTCATTATCTACCTTCCACAACTTTGGAGGAGCTGCTGTATCGACTGGATGAGTATCTGCGAGACATGTCTGCGGTTTCTTCTTCGACTTTAGCCTTCTTCGAGTCTGGGTCCTCAGGATTGCCTGGATTGGCCCTCTTCTCCACGGCCTTCTCTTCAGGCCCCGGATTCCCTTCTTTCTTTGGTCCCGGGTTACCTTCCTTCTTTGGTCCCGGATTTTCTTTGATCTCTTCTTTCGGCTCCGGCACCTCCGTCAATTGTAGATCGTCTGCAGCGTGCTCGGCAAGCGCTACCACATCGCTCGCGTACTGTCTAATCTCCTTCAGCCAGCAAGCCTTCACAGGATCTTTGTGCGCTACCAAAGTGATCGGATAAATGGGATTTGCTGGACTGTGGAGCTCGAAGGATCTTATGTCTTCTGGGTGGTCCTTCAGCTCTACCTCCGGCAGCTAAAAAATTAACGTCGGAACAAAAGCTGGAACAGCTGGTTCAATTAGTTCCTAATCAAAGATTAGCGTAACCACTTACTCGTATAATGTCCTTCAAGACGAACACCGATCTGTCTTCCGATATTCGTCTGACTTTGCATACGAGTATGCGAGCTTTGAAAAGGAACAGGTACCTTTCCTTGCTTTTCCCGTCCTTGTCAATCACCGTGTACCATTCCTGTTGAACCAAGACATCGTGCACGAAGCGAGTATGCCATACGAATTCGCTCCGATCGAAATAAAATAAATAAAGTAACTAACGTGTGTGAGCAGTCTTCCTAGTTTGTGGATGTTCCCTTTGTATCCTTCGATATTGCTTATGAACTTGTTATCCGTTGCCCTATGGGGGATACCTAGCATCAACTCCAAAGCCTTTTGGAGGTCGTCGCAGTTTTCGCCTAGTCGGGTCGAATACTTCACCAGCTCCTGCAATGAACGTCTCGTTACAAGAAATATGACGGAACGGCAGCGTCGGGTGTTCTAGACAGTTTCGTGCTCCGAAATGCTCGGGGACCTCGTTAATTTCGATTTCCGAGCAAGTTGTCTGAAAAAGAAGATCGCGGAGACCAACTTCTCTGGCATCTCGATTTTGCTATGGATCTTCCGTCCTCCGAATAGATAACGTTTTTCCACGATGGACGAGGAACGAGCGAAAGGATAACGCCGTCGCGAAGACGACCCGTTTTTAGCTCGCTAAATCCGTACGACGCCCACTCCGCCCAACACCGGCGTGGAACGCTCTGTCGCGATATTACAGCTATACATCGTCGAACTTTGTGGCTTTCCTTGATCTATATCCACCCCCTGCGGACCATGGGAACCGGAGGACTGTGTCGAGGTGAACGAATTCCGGCTGATCCGACGTCATTCGAATCGAATATTCTTGGCGCTGTATAGCAACGGTGTTCTGTATCTTCGCTGCCACCCAATCAATTTGCCAGTAGAGTTTCTTTCCACGAAATGGCTCGTAGCGTTACAGAAATACATATATCCTAGCATTGCCGCCGTAATGAAAATCATTGCGTCCCTTTGAATCTCCGCTTGATTGTTCCCCGTCGAAATGAATTACAAGAGCCGAAATCGAGTGTAAAGAGAGATCAAGAGAATTCCTTGGGATTTCTCTGTACGATAATCGAAAAGTCATTCAGCCTGTCCGGTCGTCCGTCGTGATTTATTTTCGAGGCTCGCAGCGTCGCCTGTCCAGCGCATCATGCGCTCGTAATTTCTTTCGGGCATCGGGCCCAGAATTAAAGTGCACAACACGCTAAGCCAGAAATTTGCACGCAACAAAATCGGATCAGCGCGATCGTCGTAAATCAGCCGACCGAACGATTTTCGTGAAGTTCCTTCGACTTTGGTTTCTATGAATGAAACATTTCCAAAGATTATAGAATCCGGTAAAAGCGTCGAGAGACGACTCGCGAGCGCGGCCGCGCCCTCCGCGGGGAAAATAAAGTTCGACGCAACAATTAATCCATCGGTATGCGTTTCCAAGGCGAACCGGGAAGTATTTTAGCGCCGTGCTATTTCCATCCGACAGATTGAAATTTCGACACGGATATAGGTCGCATGTGCGGGTTTTACGGGTCGTCCTGTCTGGCCGTTGTCGGATCAGTTTTCTTTCAAGTTTCTTCGAGATTAACAACATAGAGGTTGAAAAACGGCAGCTTCGCGTTCGTAAAAAAATTCAAAAAGACGAGATTCTTTTCGTTGATCCAGCGGAGAATGAACGAAATGCTATCAGCGACTGGTTCAATGTCGGACTAACAACCCGGATGACCTTGAACACTCGGAAACCATTTCCAAGCTTTGCACCGTCCATGCACGAATGTTAGAAGCAGTTAATATATTCGCGGAACACGATTCTCTGATTTTTTATTTTATACTTATTTCGATCTCCTCTGTCCGACAATTCGAAGCTGCTAATGACCTTGATAATGTTCGGGTCAATGATACAGATTCCACATGTATTTGATCACGAAACGTGAATCAGATTCGTAAATTCTGAGATTTCTGGCGTTGCATCGTAGCTTGTGTCATTCGCACGCGAACAGCATGCGAATCCACGAAATATTCCACGAATACGAAAAGATTGAGAGAGATCTTCCCGAGAGAGAAAGAGCGAGCGAATAATGGTTTTAGAGGTAATTGAAGACAGCATAAAGCTCGATGGGACGCGACGTAGCGAGACCTATCAAATTTTAGAAACGACGTTATACGACGATCAGCTGCACGGGTAATTTATGCACAACTGCTGGAATGCTTTCAAGAGATACTCTCGGCACGCTGTGTATTTCTGTCAAAACACCCTTGAAATGTATTTTGAAATGGATTTTTTCGGAACGGGAGCGAGGAGCACGATAAACAAGGGGAGAAGCCGCGAGTTCATCGGCGAACGTTACCTTAAGCAGGAGCTGGTAGTCGTTTATGCGTTGTATCGGAAGCTTCAAGTGTTCCGATAGACTTTTGTCGTCACGGAGAGTCTGGCTCAGCTCCTGCAAACAAGAATCTCAGATTAACGACCGCTTCCGCTAATTAAATGATTAATCGAGCGCACGCTGATTTATTATACATTCCCGCGGACAAGCTTCGAATGAGCCGACGTTGCGTAAAATCTGCTTTTCGTCGCGAATCGTTTCGATTAATCACGAATTGTATACAACTCTATTAGAAATTTGCATTACACAATTTTTGTAATTTTTTTCTGAAGTGCGGTAATTTCTATCTAATTCGCGTTCAGATCGCACAAAAAATGGACAATTTGGGAAGAGGAGATACGATTATCCGAGCCATGCGGTTCGTTTTTATAGTTACCGATGATCAATAATCGAACAATCGTATCTCCTCTTCCCAAATTGTCTATTTTTGTTGCGCGATCCGTGCGCGAATTCGGGAGAAATTACTGTATCATGATCTGTGACAATGAGGATTCAATGTTGAAGTAGCCTATAATTTGTCTTTACGAATATTGCGACCGATTAAGAGCAATTGAACGAGATCAAGTGTCATTCGTCTCTACGAATGCATGAAATTTGCTCCGGAAAAGGAAGATACGCCCTCGATTTCCGTTGCACAGAGATTTCGAATTAATTCGCGCAGTCCGTCCACGTGGTGCCCGTCACTGTAATTCGACACCGGGATGAAGACTCGCGTATTTTTGGATGGGACTGGATTTTCCACGCAACTATTCACAATCGGACGAACAGTAAATCAGCAGAGTTCGACTAGGTATTTTACGGCGTGACGTTCTGCGAGTAACAATAAATCGCAAGGCCCGTTGGACGGGCGGAATCCTCGACGAAATTTCGAGAGAGTTTCCCAAAAGCTGCTTCAAAGATCTCGCAAACATCTAACAATGGTCACTGGTCGATGTTTCAGCAATCGAGAGAGAAACATTTTATTTTCATCGAACACACTTCGAGTCTCTCTATTCGAGACGTTAACAAAACCCGAAGCCAAATTTTCACACGTTCCAGATCAACGCACCAAAAGGCAAATGATTCTCGTTAAATATTTCAGTGGCATCGAATATGATATTTTCTAGATGGAGCGAAGCCAATGGTCAATTAATTCTCAGGTTGACCAAGCGAGCTTGCTAGGAGGCGAATTATTTTCACTGAACATTTCAATGACACCAAATATTGTACTTGTAAGATGGAGAAAAACCAATGGTCGATCGATTCTCAGATTATCCAAGCGAACTTACGAGAGGGCAAACTATTTCAACTATTTTCATTTAACGTTCAACAGCGGCACCAAATATTATATTTCCCCAAGATGGAGGCAAGCCAATGATCACAACCAATTTCCAGATCTTCCAAGCGAGACAGGATCTTACGAAGGTCGAACTATTTCAGTCATTTTCGCCGAGTACTCGACCGACACCGAATATTATATTTCCAAGAAAGAGGCAAGCCGTTGATCGAGATTAATATTTTAAAAGGAGTCCAACCGTTTCCAATCATTTTCACCGAGTACTCGATCGACACAGAACATTCGATTTCCAAGAAATCAGACGAACCGTTGATACATTCTCCATCTTACGATAAGTCGAATTATTTCAATCGTCTTCACCGAGTATTCGATTCGCACCAAACGTTCCAAGGAAGAAACGAACCGATGGTAAATTCTCTTGGCTCGGAGAACAAGATTCCACGAAGATTCCAGGAAGAAAGAACGAAGAGAGATGATCGTGGAACGCGGAGAACGGAAGGCGAGCCGACGAACCGGAAGGGCGGACGCACCTTAGCGGAGGTCAAGGGAGGTAAACAACCGTTGTTCGTGTTTCGAGTCGTTGGTTCGATGAAGATACCGTGGCTGGTCGCAGACTGGACCAGGTCCCTGCTCCTCTGTCGATTCTCTTCCTCCGCAGTCGGTGGTTACCGAAAATCATCCGCCAGGAGACCAATACGGCCACGGCTATACTTAGACGCCGGACGAACTCGCGGACTGACCACGCACAAAAACAACGCGGACCGTCTCCGGATTGCTAGCACCTTTTACTCGAGAGACCTCTTCATCTCTCGGCTACTCCAAATTTTAGGAGTCGCCCCGAATCGAACCGGAAACGCAGCTTTTCTCTCTAATAAATGCTGACACGTATTACGATAGAACCTCGATACTTGCAAACGTTTGCGCACATCGGCGAGCTGCTAATAACGGAACATTTGGAAATCGGTGCAGATCAAGGAAAGATGTACGTCAGACAAAGTGAATGGAATTTTCATTCTATTTTCGCAAGAAGAAGTCTAGCTTGTGCTGTTTGGTACAAGTTTGTTCCTCGTTCCTTTAGCTTTGTAATAATGATTTGTGAAACATGTTAAGAAAGAAGTCCATTTAGTTCCGTTTAGTACAAGTTTGTTCCTTATTCTACGACTTTTGCGACACACGGTTTATGAAAACGGACATTTGGAAGCAATCAAAGTTACACCGCAATATATACGGTGTGTCCCAGCTTTTCAATTTTATGAAATAAATTTTTGAAGAAGTGTCCGAAATAATGTCTACGCGATATTCGAAGCCATTAGGAGCATCGGTTCACTCGCATCTAGCTTCGTCACGTTCGACGCAGTTTTTGCACAACGTTAAACAACAGCTTCTAATTGATTGCACTGAGACGCCGAAGAATCGGGCTTGTTCTCTCGGCACTTCGCCCACGGCCTCGTGTAATCGAATATTCGAACAGATTAATGGGAATAGCGAAATCGAGACGAATCATCCCATCGACGGCACAAAACCATCGTCGAACTCCCAGAGACGCCTTTTCCATGTCTTTGCCAATTCCAATGGCGGCCACCGAAATAAACGTAAATCGATTGCAATTAAAACGGCAGACAAATGGAAACGCGGCTCGTAAACACATCGAATCTACGAGTGTCTCGATGCACTCGGTGCGACCGTGCCTGAAACCGGACACGATTCGACCGATCTAATTTTAATGCCGTATCATTAAAACAGTCCCGGGAATCGTATGAAAATCTCGTCGAACTTGAGTCAAGACTCCAGAAATAACAGTGCGGATCGCGTTGAAAAAGAAAAAAGAAAAAAGCGAACAATGTAACGAAACACTGGGCACAGTATAGCTCTCGGGCCACCCACGATGCTCGTGTATTATAATTATAATGATGAGTAACTACTGCTGCGCGGTATCTAATTGCAACAATGTTCCCGAGGCGGTGGTCGTTCATAATCGCACTAAACCTGCCCCGAGCCCTAAAAATAAATAATGTGTGCTGCTTTTTTCAGAACGACGAGATCGTATTTATTTGGAGAATGACTTTCTACGAAGGAATCTTTGTGGAATTTCAACAACTTCAAAATAAAATCTGTGAAACCGAACATTTCGACTTGGTTCGGTGTCGACTAGGTTTCGGTGTTAATTCTATCCCAGAATTCGCACGTATCTAAACCATGATTTTAGAAAGAAAATGCATAAATCGGATGTATCAATAATTTCACCCTGCTGCTGGGATTTCGCATCTGCTCTTGAGAAAATAAACGATCAGCGCGATTGTGCAAGTTTGTTCCTGACGCTTGCCGTTTTCCGTATCTTTCGAAAGATCTGAAATACATACGATGTTCGATGTACATAATATGGAACGTAGAGAACATAGTTCTCTTCTAGAATTTGCAAGAAAATTAACCCTTTGCACTCGAATGGCGACTCCGAGGCGCCACTAAAAATTGGTGTACCATTTTTCAAAATCATTCTAAGAGCATCAGACTCGTTTCTACTTGAAAAGAAACTATGAAAATTGCATTGTACAATGTCAACAGGCTCAATATCATGCGCATAAGTCGCAATAAATGATATAAAATAGAACTACCGTAGATCAGAAATCATGTTTTGGATTTCGAATTCGAATAGCTTCGACCGCAAAGGGTTAATTCNCACATCGAATCTACGAGTGTCTCGATGCACTCGGTGCGACCGTGCCTGAAACCGGACACGATTCGACCGATCTAATTTTAATGCCGTATCATTAAAACAGTCCCGGGAATCGTATGAAAATCTCGTCGAACTTGAGTCAAGACTCCAGAAATAACAGTGCGGATCGCGTTGAAAAAGAAAAAAGAAAAAAGCGAACAATGTAACGAAACACTGGGCACAGTATAGCTCTCGGGCCACCCACGATGCTCGTGTATTATAATTATAATGATGAGTAACTACTGCTGCGCGGTATCTAATTGCAACAATGTTCCCGAGGCGGTGGTCGTTCATAATCGCACTAAACCTGCCCCGAGCCCTAAAAATAAATAATGTGTGCTGCTTTTTTCAGAACGACGAGATCGTATTTATTTGGAGAATGACTTTCTACGAAGGAATCTTTGTGGAATTTCAACAACTTCAAAATAAAATCTGTGAAACCGAACATTTCGACTTGGTTCGGTGTCGACTAGGTTTCGGTGTTAATTCTATCCCAGAATTCGCACGTATCTAAACCATGATTTTAGAAAGAAAATGCATAAATCGGATGTATCAATAATTTCACCCTGCTGCTGGGATTTCGCATCTGCTCTTGAGAAAATAAACGATCAGCGCGATTGTGCAAGTTTGTTCCTGACGCTTGCCGTTTTCCGTATCTTTCGAAAGATCTGAAATACATACGATGTTCGATGTACATAATATGGAACGTAGAGAACATAGTTCTCTTCTAGAATTTGCAAGAAAATTAACCCTTTGCACTCGAATGGCGACTCCGAGGCGCCACTAAAAATTGGTGTACCATTTTTCAAAATCATTCTAAGAGCATCAGACTCGTTTCTACTTGAAAAGAAACTATGAAAATTGCATTGTACAATGTCAACAGGCTCAATATCATGCGCATAAGTCGCAATAAATGATATAAAATAGAACTACCGTAGATCAGAAATCATGTTTTGGATTTCGAATTCGAATAGCTTCGACCGCAAAGGGTTAATTCGCGAAATCCGATAGTTTACAGTTGCGAAGTGTGTACAATTCGTTTGAATATTTTTGTTGGAGGAATTTTTCACCGATTGTTTTTAGTTGTTTACAGAGCGATTCTCTAGCTCCGTTCGAGACGTTCGCACCAATGGATATCGACGCCGGTTTAGTGACGCTCGGTGGACCGTATATAGCGTGCACCGGCGAACGGTGTTCTCCATCATCGGCGCGAGGATTACGCTGTCATCGCGTAATGACAGCGGCGCGACGTCACCGGCCGATAACGTGGCGCTTTCTTCCTTTTCTTTGCGGGGCATCAGCATTGTCGTGCATCAGCAAGAGGAGCGAAAGATGTTCCGCGCGTCGAGAATAAACCGAGCTATTTCGGGGGCTGGACAGACGCCCGCTTTTACCCCCGCTTGTTACGTAATCACGAGATTTCCTTCGATTCACATGGACAAGACCGGCTACCATGGAACAGCCCGGAACATCTTCCGTCGTTCTACGATTTTCCTATCGAGTGGTAATTAAATAAAAATTCTCCCGAGAGAACGCGAGATCGAGAAGCTAAGATTCGATCAACGGTGTTCGCGGCGTCGGATATGTTTGACTGCTCTCGAACAAGTTGATAAAACATGAATGAATTTAGTAGAACGTCGCCGTGAGATTACTGGACGCGTTTCTTTGTTCAAATTCGAAAAGGAACGACGCCAAAGTGCTACAGCCGCCGGTGACTAAACGTCGAAATGACAAGATGGCGGACAGAGATCTTTCTTACCAACTATCGAGTATAGGAATTTTCGGTTTCGAACACTGCTCGATCGTGGGAATATCGTTCTTTCGGGTTTTCAGCTGATTCAAGGGACTTACCTCAAAATATTCTCGTGCGGCGTTGTTCGTTTGTAGGAATTCCTGCGCAGCTGGCTCGTCCCTGCAGTAGGCCACGTGCTTGTCGAAGTCCCTTTCCTGGATAAAGGAATGGTCCCACTTAAATATTAACTTCTTCGCGCAGTAAAGATTCGAGACTGATCCTAAAATCGAATTTACGACCAATTGCACGACCGAATACTTCGCGAATATATGAAAATGAAATTATGAAATGAATTTTCTAACTTATTCGTACGAGAAGCGAATGTTTCTCTGGCACGTTGCTTCACGTTCGAATAATTTTGCGAAGCTGTAATTTCCGTAGCTATCTTCCGATTTGGCAATGTAGCGCAGAAATCTCTAATCTAAAGTATAACGAATATATTTCTCTTCGTCCAAAGTCGTCGGAAAGTTCGCGAGGATTTTTATTTTAGAAAAATGCGCAAAGGCTTACCAATCGCAGGAAAGTCTTGCCCAGCATGCGTGGCTGATCCGCATAGTACTTGACGCCTTCGATCAACACCCTGCCGAACGATCTAAGTAAGGTTCGAATTAATTTCCACGCTAAATCACACATCATGCCTACGAGCCTGGATCCGCTTCCTTCTTCTTTTCAGTGCGACATATAGGGGAGCAATTACAACATTGACAGAGTCGGCGTTGTTAATCTTCACAATTTGGTGCACCACTAGGCTACTGAATGGGTTGATTAAATAACAGGGGGTTTTCGTCGTGGGTAAGTCACAGTGACATTATTAGATCGTCGTGGCTGTGAGATACAAATCGTCGGAGAACAAATTCTCCTCTACAATATTTGATGGGGCGAAGGAGTATGAAAACTAGACGACTACTTTCCAACGAGCAACGACGCGGTTAAACACGATACGAAATATATTTCGGCAACAGGCAGAAAATAGAAGTTACAGAACTGTTTTATCCGTTTGATTATTTAACATCGTCGTTCCCGTTGGCAAAATAAATTTCTAGGGTCAATGAAAGCGTGCTCGCACATACTGTGAGGGGAGGTGCTCCAAACTTTCCAGGAACCAACAGTTTTAGTTCGACTACCGGATCACTTCAACCACCACGAAACACACGCTCACACAAACTATGCTTCATTATCGAACTTACGCCATTTTATGATCTAAAGAGAGAGAGAAAAACGTACGTTGGCGAATGTGTGCTGCGTGTATCGTGTGCGCGCGTGACTCTTGTTTTTAGCTCGACTCTCGTATAATTTTTATTTCATTGAAACGGGTCGTGTCTTTTCTTTGTTTCGACTACAATTGGAGATGGACATTCATTTTCTACGTCTAGAAAAAACTAAGCTCCGAAATTTAGTTATTTTATTTCCCGAGGAGCGAGTGTCTTGGCTATTCTCGTGACTCTTCAACATTAGACCCCGAAGACGCTACAATAAATAACTTTTTGGATGAAAAAAGACATATTTTGAGCAACTTGCAAATAATAGATTTGAAAAGCTTTTCTCTTAGTTTTTCCAAGAATCAAAATAGATAGGTACTCATTGCCACGTGAATCATAGAATAATAAATAGAATCTGTTCTGCCTGTAACGAATGTCTGGTTCAATGTGTCGCAGTGAACTTCGTTTCCCTTGCCAACGCGTTCGTTATACGTACGTATTGTGGAAATCGGCGATCTGCTTCAGGTTCGTGAAGATGATGTCTTTGTTGTCGCGCACGATCCGCGGAACTTCCGGATTGTCGAGCGGCTTCAGGTAACGTTCAACGACCAGCTGAAGGTCCCTGCCAAACTCCTCTTCGGTCTCGACCAGTTCTTTCACCACCGCCCTACGAAAAAGTGATCGTCATTATCTCTAATAACATCTTCTAATCGTAAAACGATATCGCTAAGATCACAGTTCTGAAGCGACCAATGGCTCGTTCCCGTACTCACTCTCTTCGATAATGCGAGTCCTCCGGTCGGTGTCCAGCCGCCGAGTCCTCGCTTAAGGCAGTTTGCATTAAAATCGACATGGGCAGCCATCCTTCCTTCGAGTCTGCTCTTCGGACGTAGACTCTGCGAAAGAATATATCGATGAAACAAAATGTTCTTTTGTAACCTAATTCCATTTCGCAGTCGAATCAAATTGATATCTTTTCACTTGTGACGTTATGGAAATGTTTAAAAATGTTTTCGTCGACTGCGGATTCTACGTGCAAAATAGCAGGAAGATCAACATATTTGAAGAATAACGATTAGGCTACGGATTATAAACATTTAGGACAAAAATGAATGGATGAAATTCAAAACAGTGAAAACATTTAAACAACATTACGTTGAACTTATTAAGTTCATTATAACAGGAAATAAATGTCTACTAAGCTTCTGCATCTTACAGTCAACGGACACAATTTTTATTTTCCATAGACATACGTAGTCTAATAATGATACGTTATTTGCAACTTACGAAAGTTACTGAAAAAAGGAACTTCCTGTTTGGCTTCTGTTTGACGCAATTGTTGCAGAGAACTTTTATTTGGCACAAAGGTGCGCAGTAGTGTACCTTTCATAACGTTATAATAACAATCGACTACATTATCAACGAAAGATTACTAGTAAATTTGAGATACCGTGCTCTTAATTATTTGAATAATTCGACCGCTTCTGCGACGAGCGCACCAGATTTCATATTCGACGTACGATTAACCGCGGCCGTAAATTTAACACGAACATGTTCAGATCCTGCGCCAGTAATATCCACTGGCCCACTTTACATGGTACTGACAAATTCAAGGCCTAATGGGCCGAACGGATCGCCAACAAATTTTGCGTTCTGTTGAATGAACGACGAATACGAGAACACGCAGGCCTGTCGCGTTAGTCACTGAATTTAAATATAACTGCCGACCACCCGCCCGCTCGTCTAGTCATCCTTCGTCATATTTGACGAAAGAAAAGACAATTTCCTCGCGACGATGGTTACGTCTAATTAACCCTGCGCCACTTCCGGGGAACGAGAACGCTCAGCCTCGTCGCGTAAAATAGCGCGAAACGTTGGCTCCGCGCGAACGTTTACTTAAACCATACATTCTGCTTGACAAATTTATAATTTACACGCGGCCCGTCGCACGTCACCAGAAAACAACAACAGAATTTCAGAATGTAACATGTTCGCGTAGCAAATAGTAAATAACCGGCGATCCATTGAACGGTGCGGCTGCCAAATCGTCGAATCGATGCCTCAGCGTGGATCCCGCCGCGGCGCGAACTTATTTTCAGAACTGGCCGATATTTCGCCTTCCTTGGAAACGAGGTGTACCCTGGCGAGCCAATAGAACGAAACGCGGCTCGTTAAATTGTGCAATCGAATTTTATTTAGCCGCGCGACATTTCGCTTCGAGACGACGAAGGCGAAGACGCCGTCGACGACGCCGCCACCGCGTTCTCCAAAATGTCTTCCCAGCGCTGCGGAGTCGCAGCTTCGAGCGGGATATTAACGACAGGTCGGAAACGCGGGGGCTTCCGAAGACCATTATCACGCTGTCGCAATTCCGCGATACGCCTGTAACACCTTTCCGAACGATAATTTATATATTATCGAGTCTGCAACTATTCTGGCGGCGGGCCAATCACGCGAACTGTCTCGGGATATTATTGCCATAGGGACGTTTATAAGCGTTTCATCTTCATTAACGTCGTCGTAAATTTCCGTTGCCGGTATTATCGAACAGAATTGAAACATCATCGATATTAATATAATTAATATAACGATACTCGGGCATCCTTGAGCAGGACACGCGCCGTCGACCGCCTCGATCAGGCTCGGGACTGCCGCGGATTTATCTCGACAGGATCGTAAGTAACTCTTGTGTGACGCATAGGTTTCGATCGATCACGCCGACCAGTCAGAAATCTAATAATAGTCGGATCGCGAAGTTAAATTACCAGATTTTCCCGGTAAAGCGTGGCGAAACAAACGATCCGGTTCTCGTAATAGCCTGATCAAAGGGTCTCTATCCTCGTACAGAGAAATCACCGACGGTCTGCGCGCTATTCAATTTAGATAATAACGGCGCGAGAGAATCTGAATAAACAACGGGGATTATGTGTCCCCGTATAATCGAGCAGTACGATTAATGAGTAAATAGGCTTTTCAGTGGGTCCCCGGGGGGGTTGAAATAGGACCAGTTCATTGGCTCCGACGTCAACGTAATGCCCAGGCCACTGTTTGACCGGAGCACCTGTCGTTGCTATATTTCGTGCACGGATATAGTCGTGCTATAGGCCACGTGAAAGCGTGCTCGCGCGTCAAATCCTCGTCGTTCGATAGCCCATTTTACCTTTTCCGTGTCTGGCCCCTGATATCGTTCGATCGTTGAACCGATGTTTGCACGTACGTCCGCTTTTTTCGACCGCTCTGTCTGCCCTCGTTCGATCCTCTCGATCTCTTCGGGACATTAACGAATTCGAAAGCGATTGCTTTGCTCGAACGAGTGCGATATATTTCCCATCTAACACCTGGCGAGGCCATATTTCAGCCACGAGCACAACCTTGGGTTTAACGATGACGCGCCCTTGGCGGAGTCTTCAGAGTTCAACGTGGAACGATGATCACCGTCGAGATCGGATCTTCAAACTCTCTTGAGCACGCTCCGGACCGCGAGACTCTCGAGTATCGCGATCCCGATCGCTGATATTTTGTTCAATTTTGTCCTTTGACGCAGCTTGATCCAAGAGGAAGATTCAAAGAGAAAGTTCTCCGTTCTAAATGGATGTCGTTCTTCCACGTTCAGAGACGGCAACCCTCGACTATGATCGAAGAGGCTCCTTTCTAAAATGCTTTTGTTGCATGAACGATCAAATGAAATATCGACTTTAGTGGTAAAGGTACCTTCCTAAGTCTTCAATAGAGATTAAGCCCAAGGAGCTTTCTCCTTGTTCCCAAGAGCTCTTGTTTTAATTCGAGTTCTCTATTAGATTTAAGTGCACTTTCCAATATTAAAAACTGCCGGAATTCGCATACAATACAACGCATAATTCGTAGTTTCTCACCGTGCGGCCGACGATAATTTACGTCGCACATGAAGCTTTTACTTCGTCAATCTTTGTAATTCAGCTATTTCGTTTATATTCCATTTTGAACACCATCTCTGCATACGTTTCCTTTCGATCATGTAGCTATGAAGGATTTGATCCTTCCATTTGCTGACTATGATTAAGAACTATTTTCGGCTCAATTTTATGTTTTTCCTTCGTGATTACTGTTCCTGCAAGTTATCGCGATATGTTAATATCGTTCTTACAGTTTCCTCATCTTGCCATGTCAATATAATAATCAATATTTCCATCGGGGGCCATCGCGACGTGAAATTATATCTGCTTTTATTTAGCTTTTTACTTTCCATGCGCTGCGGTACAATAGCACGCTGTTAGAATAGATCATAAACATAGAAACGTACAAGTGATGTGACAGATTTAAGTGGCCGCACGTGACAGTCCGTACGCTGGACAGACACCGTCCTTGACGGGTTAATATAATTTCATAATCGAAGAGGTATGGTATATCTCAGCGTGTCTCCCTTATTCCTACAGCTTCCGGGCTAGTCTAATTAGCGTTCACCGTTAAATGCAGTCTACACGATCCTCCAGCTAGTTCGAAAGCAGGTGTTAGGCGAGCCTGGTCAGCGCTATCGCAGCTAAACGGTGAAAGATACGATACCTCTGCAGGCTGACCTCCGAACTCGACCTTGAAACGCCTTTAGACCGAGGATCAGCGTGTTTCCGTCGCGGCCTGACCGACAGTTTGTGCCAAGCGGCCGAGTTGTCCAGCACGTCGCCTATCTCGCCGATCTCCAGATCCGGATCCAGCTTGATCTTCCTACAACACGGCGAAACACCGAGAATAGAGGCTGCCTCGCGCGGGCCTCGCGGTGATTTTAGTCGGGCTCCATGCAGACTAAACATTATTCGCCGTTAATCGCAGCAAGCTTAGCCGTTGGTTAAACGCGCGGCATCGTTGGGAACGCTTTCAGCTGCGAAACCAGGCCCGGCGATTTGTTATTCGGCTCGATCGCCGATATTCGCGGGCATGCTAATCTATATTCGTAGCGGTTAGGCGTCCTTCGTACGGGCATTATGCGGTTTCCCTTGAACGTGCGCCCGACGAGCTCGATCATCGTAGGTGTCGTCGATCGTCTTATTTCCGTCGACGCGACGGCGACGAAACCTGCTGCCGTGGAACCGTTCGATGAACCGAGATGCTTCTCACCGAGAAACTTTCCATCTGCCACGGCGGCACAGCACTCGCGAGTGCTGTCGACGTATTTTATAAACGCGGCCGAGATACGCTGGCGAAACGTCGTTCGCGTAAAAATATCGTCGCGAAAATAAGCAAAAGGGGGCCGATCTCTCACTGTTTGACACGCGGACTCGCCGTGCTTTAATCTTTCCTCGCGGATCCCTGGCCTGCCACGCGCAGCGGCTCCAACTCGTTCCCCTCGTTTCGATCATGCATTTTCCGGCGACACGTCGGAAACGCGCGGTTCATTCGTGCAGAAATGAGAGGCCTTAGATTGTAACAACATTGTGAGAAACAATAGCTGACAGGAATTTCATTTCTAGCGCTTATTGACGATTTCAAACAGACTTCAACAAATATAAATATCATTCGACATCCATCATTCCCTGTAGTTACCAATATTCAAACGTCGGAAGAAATATTTTTTAATCCTTTGCACTCGAATGTCGCCGAATTTCTTTCTTTTCTTAGCTCCTTTATTAATGTTCCTCTAATTGATACTACAATTAGGTACATTTGTTGCTGTGAAAGCTTATCGATTTCGATTCGTTAAAGTGGCATTTCTTTTTAATTATTACACTCTTTTCATTATTATTCTCTTATCGTGTAAAATACATAGATAAAAATCCGAACTCTTTTATTTATTAATTCCTATAAAAATTCACAGCAGTACGATGATCTTTTTATATTTCGATTCGACTTTCTATAGGAAAATCGACACAATTTTTGGAAAATTTATCGAAAATATCTTCCGAGTGCTAAGGGTTAATTGAGCCGTTTATTTTGAAAGTGGCACAAGTCACTTTACCGTAATGAGATGTGTATAAGAGACAGCCCTTAAATATATCGACTTAAAAACAAAGTGACTTGTGCCACTTTCAAAATAAACGGCTCAATTATAAACCTGTCTCTTATACACATCTCATTACGGTAAAGTGACTTGTGCCACTTTCAAAATAAACGGCTCAATTATAAACCTGTCTCTTATACACATCTCATTACGGTAAAGTGACTTGTGCCACTTTCAAAATAAACGGCTCAATTATAAACCTGTCTCTTATACACATCTCATTACGGTAAAGTGACTTGTGCCACTTTCAAAATAAACGGCTCAATTATAAACCTGTCTCTTATACACATCTCATTACGGTAAAGTGACTTGTGCCACTTTCAAAATAAACGGCTCAATTATAAACCTGTCTCTTATACACATCTCATTACGGTAAAGTGACTTGTGCCACTTTCAAAATAAACGGCTCAATTATAAACCTGTCTCTTATACACATCTCATTACGGTAAAGTGACTTGTGCCACTTTCAAAATAAACGGCTCAATTATAAACCTGTCTCTTATACACATCTCATTACGGTAAAGTGACTTGTGCCACTTTCAAAATAAACGGCTCAATTATAAACCTGTCTCTTATACACATCTCATTACGGTAAAGTGACTTGTGCCACTTTCAAAATAAACGGCTCAATTATAAACCTGTCTCTTATACACATCTCATTACGGTAAAGTGACTTGTGCCACTTTCAAAATAAACGGCTCAATTATAAACCTGTCTCTTATACACATCTCATTACGGTAAAGTGACTTGTGCCACTTTCAAAATAAACGGCTCAATTATAAACCTGTCTCTTATACACATCTCATTACGGTAAAGTGACTTGTGCCACTTTCAAAATAAACGGCTCAATTATAAACCTGTCTCTTATACACATCTCATTACGGTAAAGTGACTTGTGCCACTTTCAAAATAAACGGCTCAATTATAAACCTGTCTCTTATACACATCTCATTACGGTAAAGTGACTTGTGCCACTTTCAAAATAAACGGCTCAATTATAAACCTGTCTCTTATACACATCTCATTACGGTAAAGTGACTTGTGCCACTTTCAAAATAAACGGCTCAATTATAAACCTGTCTCTTATACACATCTCATTACGGTAAAGTGACTTGTGCCACTTTCAAAATAAACGGCTCAATTATAAACCTGTCTCTTATACACATCTCATTACGGTAAAGTGACTTGTGCCACTTTCAAAATAAACGGCTCAATTATAAACCTGTCTCTTATACACATCTCATTACGGTAAAGTGACTTGTGCCACTTTCAAAATAAACGGCTCAATTATAAACCTGTCTCTTATACACATCTCATTACGGTAAAGTGACTTGTGCCACTTTCAAAATAAACGGCTCAATTATAAACCTGTCTCTTATACACATCTCATTACGGTAAAGTGACTTGTGCCACTTTCAAAATAAACGGCTCAATTATAAACCTGTCTCTTATACACATCTCATTACGGTAAAGTGACTTGTGCCACTTTCAAAATAAACGGCTCAATTATAAACCTGTCTCTTATACACATCTCATTACGGTAAAGTGACTTGTGCCACTTTCAAAATAAACGGCTCAATTATAAACCTGTCTCTTATACACATCTCATTACGGTAAAGTGACTTGTGCCACTTTCAAAATAAACGGCTCAATTATAAACCTGTCTCTTATACACATCTCATTACGGTAAAGTGACTTGTGCCACTTTCAAAATAAACGGCTCAATTATAAACCTGTCTCTTATACACATCTCATTACGGTAAAGTGACTTGTGCCACTTTCAAAATAAACGGCTCAATTATAAACCTGTCTCTTATACACATCTCATTACGGTAAAGTGACTTGTGCCACTTTCAAAATAAACGGCTCAATTATAAACCTGTCTCTTATACACATCTCATTACGGTAAAGTGACTTGTGCCACTTTCAAAATAAACGGCTCAATTATAAACCTGTCTCTTATACACATCTCATTACGGTAAAGTGACTTGTGCCACTTTCAAAATAAACGGCTCAATTATAAACCTGTCTCTTATACACATCTCATTACGGTAAAGTGACTTGTGCCACTTTCAAAATAAACGGCTCAATTATAAACCTGTCTCTTATACACATCTCATTACGGTAAAGTGACTTGTGCCACTTTCAAAATAAACGGCTCAATTATAAACCTGTCTCTTATACACATCTAGATGTGTATAAGAGACAGCCCTTAAATATATCGACTTAAAAACAAAGTGACTTGTGCCACTTTCAAAATAAACGGCTCAATTATAAACTGCGAAACTTACCAAGCCATATAATGTAACTGACGTGCGTTGCTTTATAACAATGAAAAGACTGTATTTATTTAGTTTATGGCTGGATTGAGAAATTGATTAAGAAAGTATTCTAGTGCGAATTGTTCAAAAAAATCCATTTTTTATTTGGCACGTTCTTGAGGGATATAGTTTCAAAAGTACATCTCTGGAATCTTACACGCGAACTCCTAAAGTCAACGAAGTTATGGATGTTCGAAATACATTATTATCGATATACTACACTTTAATGGCATTCTTCTCGAAACTATGTTTTTCAGAACGGTGACCGTCATATCTGAAAACCTACTTCACCAATCGACTCAAAATTTTCACTACGCATTTTGTACATGTCTCGCTACAGTCCCTACTAGACTCAACCAAAAGTTTATACCTTTTTTCTGTTTCTCAGGCCTCTGAAATTTAACGAAACACACAAAAATCGATAATCAAATTTCAAAGTATCGTCACTGTTTTAATTACCGACTTTGTTCTAGCACCTGCTATAGCCAAATTTATACTAATTAAAGAACTTGCACGTTTTTTTTTATTTCAGACAGGCAGAATGGCCGGAATCATGAACACCATGAGACGATCTTATATTAAAAACGATCATGTTTGAGAGTATGTAATGCCACTGATTTGAACTTGTTTCTGTTTCAAAAAAATGTTAAAACCTCATTGAAACGCGTGCAAATAAATCTTGTCAATATGCCTGCCAAAGATTCCCTAACAACATTAAAAGGCCACATACTTCACACTAGAATATCCCCTTAAATCGTTTTCTGTGAGCGTCTTTATAATTCCAGCAACTTTCAAACAAAACATGTGGAACGTGAACTAACGCTTAAAGAAGCTTCTCTGAAAAAGTAACATTAAGAATAAAGCAATCTCAAGGCAATAGGTGGATAGTTGCAGCTTAGTAGAATAGAACAGACGGTAGATAAGCTCAATGAATCTTTTGATCCAGTGCAATGCGTTACGATAATGTGACAGAGAACAGGGTTAATGAAAGCAGCAGCTGTTAAACGGAAAGGCTGATTAGGTGTTCGAGAAGCAGAAGAGTTTTCCGAAAGTGACGGATTGCTAGCAACAAGCCCGTCTCCCTCGGCCTATAGGCTATATAGGGGCTGAGGATTATTTTCGGCCGCACACGCGTTGCACACACACACACGGAAATAGAATTTTAACGGCGCACGCAAATGCCCCGACACGCGGAGTCAACGATCCAACAAAACAAAAGCGCTGATCATTTGTTTTCCCTTCGTTTTATGAAGCTGGCTGGAAGGCTTACTTGGCTGGATCCGCGTATTCGAGGGCCTCGACGATATCGCCGACATTCACGGAGAAATTGTCCGTGTCGCTCTTGTAATCCTTCACGACGATATAGTTGTCCAAGGATTTCTGTAACAGAGAAGAGGAACAGGACATTGTGACAGCTTTGAATTTCGACGAACCAGTAATGGGGGGACTCGTCGAAATAATAAAGTAAGCTAAACTGATGATGTAATAGAAATGAAACCTTTTGAAAGTATTAATTAAATATAGAGTAGCGCGAAGCCGGGGTTACTCTGTGGGGTGACCAATTGCTATTGCTTTTGGTTCGTTTTCGGGCATAATTAATTTGATATTTATCGAACGAGACACATATTACATTTTCTCTATTCTTTTATTTCGTTTATTTAATATGTCTTATTCGATGAATGTCAAGTTACACTTATGCCTGAAAATAAACCAAAGGTATAGTAATTTGTTGCTTCACAGTATACCCTACTCTTCGATATCGCGAATAATATTCTCGGATCAATGTACAGTGTCGGATATATTATTTTTCCTTTAAGTATTGAGTTAATTGTTCGAGGTCTCGATTGAAAAAGAGTTACGCTTTAAGATCGTGTGAAAAATCTGGACTATCGGTAAAGCGTTAAACAACCAGCTCATTATTCCTAATTACGTGCTTCCACGAGGTCAGACAACGTTGATTCTTCGAAGCAAATATTATTATCTTGCTGAAGGAATAACGAATAATAAGCTACAAAGGATCAGATTTCACGCGACACCTTTTACGTATCAAAAACCCTCTCCCCGAACATTACCCGCTCACAGCTATTGTCTTGCTGGATGCTGCTCAGTCTCCTCAAGCTAGGCGTGTTCTCTCTGCTCGCGGAGTAACCGTAATAGGACCTGTCGGACTTGGACAGTACGACACCATTGTTCTCTTGTTTCTGGCAGGTGCCGTTCCCGGAACCATCGAGGCTGCTGGCGATGGAAGCGGTGCCCGTAAACGTGGACACGATCTCCGCGTCCATGTCTTCTTCTTTGGCTACGGGACAACAGTACATGGAGAATCGATGAGCGGTCGGACGGTTCAGTCTCAGGGCAGAGAACACGTGCAGAGGTTCGAAATGGCTGATGCCGTCTTCGTCGAGGACCGTGTAGGCCACCTGACCGGTGAGGACGGATCTGGAAGCTTCTCTCGGCACCACGGCCTGCATGCCCTGCTTCAGGATCATAAAAATAGAAGACGATCGATGGCTTCTCCTCAAGAGGAACTCCTCCATCGCCAGGCTATTGTCGGAATTAAGCAGAACGCTGGGAACGTCCGCGGAGGACTGCAACGGCGCTTCTTCAGGGACGATCATCAATGCGGCGCTCTCGCGAACCAGAGTTCTGAGTCTCGGGTCGGTCCTCGCCAATTCGGGGTCGCTGCACAGCTGCGTCAGGGCGTTCATGAACGGCGGTCTCTCCTCTGCCAGCTTCCTCATCACCGTCAGCCTTTTCAGGACGTCCAACGTCACCCTGTCGCTGGCCAACACCCGCGTGGACTTCTCGTCGCTGATCACTGCCAGGAGGCTGCTCGCGATACTGGCCATTCCCAGGGCTCTGGCCAGTCCAACTGCCTGAAGAAGCATCTCCCTGATGTTCTCCCCTTCGTCGTTCAGCAGTTCCTGCACTCGGATCTCGCTCGACTCCCGAACGGCGTGCACGATCGCTTTGTGGACGGTCTCCGCCGCGTCTCTCTCCGTTTCTATGGTGGACACCTCCTCGGACACTTTCTGGAGGACTCTGGAGACCAGTTCCGGGTCATTCTTCGAGACGGTCCTGAAAGCAGGACCGACCAGGTCCGTCCCGTGGTCCTCTTCGAGAACCATCGACAATCTGTCGAGCACCACTTCGTCTTTCAGGGACTGGCCAACCACGGTGGACCTCAGTATGTCTATCTTGTTGTTCTTGTTTTCGATCAGCTCCATCAGAGCGGATTGGCACAGACTGCTCCGGTTTTGAGGGAGCAAAAGTATCTGCAGGATCTCCTCCACGGACTCCTCGATGCTAGTGTTTCTCTGCCGCAGAAGAACGTTGAAAGCTTCGCTGATGGAGGAGTAGACGAAATCCTGCTGTTCTTCGTCGCCGATCTCCAACGAATCGTTCGCGATCGCGAGAACAGCGCTAGACATTGCCGTCTTAACGGCGGCTCGCAGCCAGTCGTCGCCTTCGGCACCGTTTCGTTCATCTCCGGCATTTTTGCCGGCGTTCGAGGCGACGGACGATTTGTTGCTCTTCAACAACTTGGAGGATACGAAATTGTCGTCCAGTTCCTGCTGGGCCGCGATGTTCTTCGCCAGTTGAGCAACAGTGGAGACGATCTGCGCCATTTTAACCGCGGTCGAGCCGTGCAATCCGAGTTTCTCCGCCATCTCCAACGCGTGCTCGAGAGCCACCGCTTTCGGATCCACGTCGACGTCCACGGCTGGCAAGTCGGTGGCAACCTTCCGTCCCACCGACAGTCCTGCCTCGGACAGCTGTCTCAGCATCCTAGCGTCGATGCTGGCCTCTCCCTGGTGCTGCACGTGCGGATTGTAGTGTAAATGCTGCGGCCTGAGAAGCTTCAATTCCTCGGGAGTGACCTCGAACCCTTGGACAGAGAACTCTACTTCTCCCTCGGGAGTGTCGGTCAGGTCCGGGGCGACGAATCGCGGCCCCTCTTCCGTCTGAACGATCTGTCCAGGTACAAAGGTTACTCCCAGCTCTCCTGATTCCACCACGCGACCTGGCACGAACCGAGGACCGTCCGGAGTGTCCACCACTTGGCCAGGCACGAATCTAGACCCCTCGTCCTCCGTGGAGATCACCTGGCCAGGGATGAAGGTGGGGCCGACCTTGGTCTCGACGATTTGACCCGGCACGAAGCGGGGTCCTTCCGTCGTTTCCACCGTCTGTCCTGGAACGAACTTGGACCCTGTCCGAGTCTCCACCATCTGTCCCGGCACGAACTTCGGCCCGGTGCTGGTGTCTATCACCTGGCCGGGTACGAACTGCTCGCCCTTCTCCGTCATCACGATCTGACCCGGCAGGAAACCGTCCTCCGTCATCACGCCGGGCACGAACCTCGGCCCATCCTTTCCTCCGCGAACCAGTTGTCCCGGCACGATCCTTCTTCCTTCGGGAAGCTTCTTCGCATCCTCCGGGAAGAACTCCACGCCCCGTTCCGTCTGAACCATGTGCCCGAAGATCTCGCTCTGCTGCAGGGAGACGTTCGCGGTCTTCGGGTCCACCGGTATGCCAACGGGTCCAGCATCGTGGAACGTTACCTCGTCGAACTTCCTGGCAGCCGCGAACTCGAACCCTTCGTCGGTCAGTCGAGTGTGTCCCGGGAAGAACTTCTCGCCGTCCGACGTTCTCAATACTTGACCCTCGACGAACTTCTGACCCTTCGGCGTGTCCAGAGTCATGCCCGGTACGAACGTCGCGGCTTCGCCGATGTCCTTGACGAGGCCGGGGACGAAGCGACCCTCGCCGGAGTTCGTAGCGACGTATTGCCCGGGAACGAACTGCGATCCTTGAGACGTTGGCATCGTCTGACCAGGAACGAACTTCGTCTCTCCTGTCGGCGACTCTATGCACTGCCCGGGCACGAACTCCCACGACTCCCCGACTTGTACGCTTTGTCCAGGGACAAACACCTGCTCGCCGCGATGATCGGTGACCGTTTGACCCGGCATGAAGCGCGGCCCGTCCGGTGTCAGGATCGTCTGACCAGGGACGAACGCGCCGTCCTGTTTCACTTGACCGGCGACGAACTTGGGTCCCTCCTCGGTGAGCACGGTCTGCCCTTGGACGAACCTGGCCCCCTCGTTGGTGTGCAAAGTCTGACCTTGAAGGAACCTGTGGCCCTCCTCGGTGGGCAAGTTCTGACCCGCCACGAACACCGGCGTCCTCTCGTCATCCTGCTCTTGGACGACGGTCAGTATCTGACCCGGGACCAGGACAGGGCCGTCAGGAGCGTTCACGGTCAGACCGGGAACGAAGGCAGGACCCTGAGGTGTCTGCAGCGTCTGGCCAGGTACGAAAATAGGGCCGACGGGCGTCTGCACGGTTTGGCCGGCGATAAATCTCTGCGCTGACTTTACGTCTAATTTCAGACCTTTGATTCGGTGCGCCGTTGTCTCGGTACCCCTGCCGAGGTTGCGCACCAATTCGGGAATCTCTTCCACCTTCGGCAACTCTTCCAACGCCTGCTCGCCGGCCTCCAGAAGCTTCGCGTTCACGTTCGACGCTTCCTTGAGATCGCTGGCCGGCATGTTTTGTATGGCCGACTGCAGAGTAGGATCCGGTTCTATCTTTAGCGGCGTCAATGGTTTCACGATCGATATCGCCTCGAATCCTCCGGTCTGCTCCGAAACGGGACTGGTGCACGCGGAGGAGGCACCCTGCTCGATGATCCGAGGATCGATCTTGAGCGGAGCCGGCAGTTTGTCCACGACAGGTGGCAACGAGATCTTGGCCGCCTCTTGGAACGAGTTCCAGTCCAAAGTTTGCGGAAGAAACTTGGCAGTTTCCTTCAGGGAGTCCGTCACAGAGACCAGCTCGCATGCCCTGATCCTAGCTTGCTCCAGGTCGACGCTCTTCCAGGTTTGAACCTCCTCCTCCCTCGTCTCCTCCTTCGCGCTTCTCAATCTAAGTTGCTTCGTTCTCTTCAGCTCCTCCTCCTCGGCAGCCTTCTCCTTCTCCTCGAAGATCTTCTTCGCGTAACTGAGTCCGGCCTGCCTCTTCCGCTTTCGCTTCCTAGCCTCCGCCTCTTGCTTCTCCCTCTCCTTCAGCACCTCCTCTCTGGGACCTAGCCCGTCGTAAAGGTTCTCGAAGTTCTCCAAGTTCTTGAAGTCCACCGACACGTTCTTGCCTTGCTTCAGCCGGAAGAGAACGGTGTCGCAGTCCCTGGACAGCATCACGTCCTTCACGTCCCCGTCCCTGACCGCCGCCTCGAGCCTCGACGGGAACACCAGGCTGCATCTACGCTCCTGAACGGTGTACACGAACTTGGCGATCTCCTCTTCCGGGGGCGGTTGCTTCGTGTTCAGCAGGTCCCGCAGGGCTCTTTGCTGCTCGCCCTCGCCCTCCAGGACCGGGAACACGTAGCGATAATCCTTCAGGATCACGTGCTTCTTCTTCTCGCCCAGAACGAACCCGGCGGTGTAGTGGTGCGGGCCCAGCCCCGAGGCGTTCGTGATCCTGCATTTCGACTTGTCGTGGCTGTGCACGCCCAACAGGACTGGAATGTAATGATGCGTGGGCAGCCCGTAAGACTTGCCTGTGATGCGACAGAAGCGTTTCGCGTCTGCCGGGCTGATCGGCGGCAGCAGCGGGAAGTAGTTCGGCTTGGGCAGGCCTCTGCTCCGGCCGGTTATCCTGCAGAAGGACATTGTCGCTAAGATTCGCTCACGCTCTCATCGATCGAAGCCTGTCTCGCGTCCGTAGTTCCACGCGATCGTCGGCGAAATTGGTGTCGCTCGGCAGCTAGAAGCTCGACGTCCGTTCGTAAGGACCCCTGTTCTCGACCACTGGCTCGTGACTTGCCCTCTTGGCGTCCGCGTCGACGTCAGTAAACGCGTGCAGCTGCGTCATCGCGCGTCTCGGCTCGCATTGTCCCTCTGTCGCCATAACTCGTCCACCACGTGGAGCCTGGCCCAGACTCAATCTCTCGTCCCACGGTTTCCCGCAGCTTCGCGCACGTCCGCCCGCGAACTGAGACCGCCGCGACTCATTTGCGCCTCTCCGACCACCTTTGCATGCTATTCTTATTTCCCTTCGGTTCGCTGGAAATAAAGAGGAGAACCGTCTCGCGGGACGGGGCGCCTGCGTCGCTGACGATCGGGATACGTTCGTAACCCAAATCGCTTCTTCTTCCCCCGAGGAACACGCCGGCCGAGGACGCGTACAGCCGCGGCAGGAATTTTAATTCGTTCGGCTTTGACTCGCGCGTCCCGCAACTTTTCCCTCGGCCGTCCCCGTCGGCTGCTCGTTAAAAAGTTTTCGGTCGAAACCGCGACCGGCCCGCGCCTGCCCGACACACCAGCCACGGTTTATTTTTACGTGCGGGATGCCTGCGAGGATTCCGTAGGAGCCCTCTCGATCGTTCCGTTTCGCCTGGTAGCCGGCCAATTCGTCGGTTTTCCTCGTCGTTGAAAAAAGCGCCTTCTTTTTCCGTGGCAACCGTTTCCGTCCGCTGGCCGGCACCGAACACCGTCGATCGGTACTTTTCGCCAGCTACAAGATTCTTGGCCGCCTCGAAGTCCTCGCCGATTGGCAACCGGGCCGTCAGGCGACGACAGACGTTAGCTTGACATATTTGCTCGCCGCGGTGTCAAACATCCCTCATCCTGTCCGACCGCGTTTTTATTTCACGATTCACCGGCCTGCGAGATGCTCGGCTTTCCTCCCGAGTGTTTTTCCAGGTGTTGGTCTCTCTCTCTCTCTCTCTCTGTCTCACTGCTGAATTATGACGCGCGGTACCGACCGCGATCGATGATATTTGTGTTGCCGATGACTCGGACAACAGCAGCCGTGAATTATACACGGCGAAACGACACGCTGTCCTCGGTCCTCGCTAATTCACGATAACCACCAACGGCGTAGCTCTATCTGTCTTCTCTCGGCGATTCAACGTGGCAACTGTTTCCACCTCGTCACTTTCACCGATCTTCACCAACCACCATCTATTTTCACGCCGGTGCACTGCACTCTATATCGGTTGTCAGAAGCCGTTTCACGGAACACGATGCATTAGGGGAATCAGCTCTCTCGCTTTCTCTCTCTCGGAGGGTATACTGTGCGTCACCTGTTCGAACCACTTTCATCCTCTAGTGGTTTTCGTGCTCGGGATTCGTTGAGATCAATTGTGGACCCATCGGATACGATTAATCACAGATACGGTTCGCGAGGTGGAATAATCGAATGTAGAAACGTGTCGAGAACGGCAGCCTCGGTCGCGGTAAGCTTCTCGGAATCTTGTCGGATTTGTAACGAGCGGCCCGACGGTCACCGCGAGGCCTCGCGCGATCTATCTACCTCGGATCGATGTCGTTTCTAGCCGCGTATCACACTGCGAGGAGATACGGAGCCGGCACGCGTGTCATCCCGCGCTGTTCCCACCGAAATGCGTACGTATTGCGATACGCGGCGAACGCCAGACTACTCGATGTACGAAGTGGCTAAGAGCCGTTTGCGCGACGAGTCTCTCGGCTCCCCACGACCAGAAATAGCTACCCTTCTTACACTTCTCCAATACATCTTTAGAACGGAGTACGACGGCTCCGGGGAGACGCGCGTGGACGTGCGCGCTAAGGGTGTAGCCGAGGCCCCAAGGAACCAGGCTTTCGCGTCACCGAGGGAATTCCCTGCTACGCGATTCCTATCCAAATCCTCGGGCTACTTCGATTTTCTATTTCCTCGCTGGAAAAAATCTCGGAGAGCGGTGTCTAACTTTACCGGATTTTGGGCGCGTCGGTTCTCTCTTTTCGAACTTTCATGTAGTTGTTGATGCAGCAAATAATTCTTTCGTTTCATCACATCCGAATCTTCGTGTTTTCGCGTAAACTATGTTATATTATGATGAAAGTAGTTTCGTTTCTCGCGGGAAAATGGAAGACGAATTTTTTTTAATAGCATTCCATGACGATCGGTATGTTCTATTGGGTTGGCAACTAAGTAATTGCCGATTTCAGTTATATAGATGTCTCTCACTCCCATTTTTATGATATCCGTAAATGTTATGTTATAAAATTATTATTATTATTATGTTATTTTTTATTATCCGCGAATGTTAGCAACTGGACAAATTGAATGCAGCGGTCAAGGAAAAGCGAACAGAATTGGTCGATCGTAAAGGTGTCATTTTCCATCAGGACAATGCTAGGCCGCACACGTCTTTGTCCACTCGGCAAAAATTCATGGATATTGGTTGGGAATTGATGTTACACCCACCATATATAGTCCTGATCTTGCGCCATCGGATTACCACTTATTTCGATCCATGGACAACTCCCTTCGTGGTAAAACTTTGAACGATGATGACGCTGTAAAATCTCACTTAACTCAGTTTTTGGCCGAAAAGGATCAGACATTACAGATTAAACTCCATTCCAAGTAAAAAAAATTTTTATTTCATTGAACAAATCGGCAATTACTTAGTTGCCAACCCAATATTACACCTGGCAAGAAGTATTCGAACACATTTTAAAACGCAATAACTTTTCTTAAGCTGATCTAAATGATTTGAGTTTTGTTCTTCGTACAATGATTAGAATACCTTTTTTCTATTTTACTTCTACTTGGAATTACAAGAAAAATGTGTTTTGTAGACTACTTTTTTAGACTAGTTTTTGGAATTTTCTTAAACAGGGTTCAGGTTTGCACGATGTATAGTTCTATTACGAAACAAATTCCGTTTCATTATTTGTTCTAGATCGAGGGACAAGATGAAGAACAAGATTTATTATTTCAGCAAACGTCGATCGAATGTAACGAAGAAAAGACTTATGTCAAAAAATATGCATGGAAAGTGACGGTAAGTTTTATCGATGTTTTACGTTATAAATAAATTACCGAGAATCAACCTTATTTTAACGGTTTACTCGATGGCTGCCCCATCTCAAGTGGAGTTTTATTCCATCTCTGAAAACTGTACATGTACAATCGAAATCGCGCGCGTCCAGTTCATCGGGCAATGCAAACGAAAATATCGAAACGCAAATGGCGCAGCCGCTATTTAGCAAACAGGGATGAAAAAGGGCGATGTTGATGCCCCGCTATTTAAAGCATGCCGATTGTTGCCACGACCGCCTACCGCAGGCCCGATTTCTTTCTTTAGGACCGGTTGCGTCATTATTTGATATAAATCGCGCCGCTTTTCCGGGCGGTACGCGCGTGAGAAACTATTCTCGACCTGGTTACGCCGCGATATGAAATATCGCGTCCGATTTGATCCTCTAAAATTATCGGAGCAGCGAATCATCCGCGGCGAACGCGCGGGAAAATCGTGGAAACCAATGGGATACAAGGAAGCGTGACGAGTGGATATGGTAAGGCCCGGGGAATTCGGATAATTTCATCGGGAACAGTCGCGGCCCGCGGATCGGTATTGTCGAGATAACTAATGCCGCCGACAAGCGGCTTTATTTATTTCGATATGCACTCGTGCAGCTTAAGTGATGTAGTGGGTGATAAATCTGGCGCGGGCGCGTGTCACTGTACGCGATCTGCGAAAGATGAATAAGACACCTGTTACCATTTTTCAGTTACGCTCGCGTTCACCCCGTCTCCGCACCCGTCTCGTATTATTGGTTGAATACTCGTTTCCGAAACGCCAGTAAATTTTAATAGGTGGCTCATCTCGTTGCCAACAGATGCGCCACGATCCTGTCGCGAAATGTTGCGAGAAACGGTCAATCATGATCGTCGAATAATGTCTGCTCGCTTTCCTGTATCTTTTGGCGGAAACACCATAAACAGCGCGGAATAGATTCAAACGAACAATATGGAGTGCCCTGACGGTTCTAGGAACCGGTAACGTCAGAATGACGATTCTCGAAACAGGAATCCGGCTCGTTTCGGCTGTTAATCCCATAACGACCAGCAGACGGTCGCGACGCACTGGCAACGGTAGCCACGAACGATAATGTTTATGTCGAAAAACGAGCGGAACGTGCCTCGGTCGGGCAGCAATCTGCATCGGTTCGAGATCTACGATAATTAGAATGACAAACAATTCTGGTCCGGCGTCGAACTATTATAAGTCGGCTATAATAAGAAGGTCCGTTCGAAGTGGATTCGTCAGCTTCGCAGTCTCCACTGTGAACAATTCATCGATACAAGCGACCGAGTTTCTGTTTCTTAAACAATCTCACTGCCGGATATCAACTTCAAAAATTAGCATAATATCGAAGTCATTTAATTAATGAAACTAGAAAGTTAAAATGTACCTTTGGAAACGTAGGTTTAAGTCTATAGTGTTCTAGAAGACCCGATTCAATGTTGTATGTTCGATATATCACAATAAATATTAACCCTTTCCACTCGAATGGCGACTCCAAGGCGCCATTAAAAATTGTTACGTCACGTTTCAAAATAATTTTATTAATCAAATGCGTTTATATTCGAAGAACCGTTGAAAGGATAACTGTTGCATCAATCATAAAATTCAATGTCACACGTATTAAATGCATTAGGTTAAATAAAATAGAAATACGGTGGATCAAAAAAACTGTATTAAATTTTGCGTTAATTTCGCTTCGAGTGCAAAAGGTTAATTTCAAAATCTAGTTGAAAATTAGTGTCGATCATACGTGACGACGTCACTCGACACGTTAATACTTCAACTGTTACACAAATAAATTCCAAAATTATACGAAGTTCAAGTATTTTATGTAATCAAAATCAAATTGAAAAGTTGAGCTTTATGATCTCGGTTACTTTTTCAACGTTCCTATCTTCTTGTGAATCCTAATTAAAGCTAGAAGACATAATGCATCGGTGCAATAATTGAGCCGTTTATTTTGAAAGTGGCACAAGTCACTTTGTTTTTAAGTCGATATATTTAAGGGTTTGCGTTTTAACACGTTTCAAAATATGGATGCTAACTTTCGCATTTGTTATCTCAGGATACTGATATTTTTCTCAGTACAAATAATTTCGTATAAACATTAAAAAATCACCACTTTTCATTACGATAAATGCCACTTTCAAAATAAACGGCTCAATTAATCTCCAAATCTGAGAAAATAAGTCCGTTGCCCATATATGGTTGACGCAGTTGGGAAATATGGCGACCATATATACCTAAACGTCCAAAAATATCGCATTTCTTGAACTACCCAGAAATCAATAAGGAAACCCCAAAATATGACGGAGCGAAGCATGCCAGTCCATAAAGCGTCGCAGTAGGAAACCCGTTCGAGAACATTTTGTCACAATGATTGATAATAATGGTTCGATTTATAGCTACGTAATACCGCGCGACGGTCCAAGGCTGATAGTGATTTATTTCGAATTGTTTCTGTCACGGCGTTTTGGCCAGTTCGACGGCGATAATTAATAAAAGCGACACGACAGCTCAATCCTACATCCAAGGAATCTGTGTTTCCGATGCATTTCACGTTCCATTATTCCTATACACGTTGAATAAATTTCGCAGGACAATGGAACGCGCGCGAAAACTTAAGATTCTCGTAAATATCGTATCCTATGGAAGCGACGAGAGAAAAACGAGCGCGGTTCTCGTTCATTCTGGTTGCCAATGGGACACGGTAGTTGTACAGTTTTTAACTTGCCAAAACAACCAGTTGACAGGCTGCCGTTATTCACCGAGACTAAGTAGACGTTAAGTTTCCGCTCGAAGTAACGGCGTCGCGGCTCCTATTGGCACATTGACGCGTTCCTTTAATCCGCCGCGTTGATGGTCTGCCAAAGATTACAAATTTCATTCTGGACGGAACCGAACGTGTCTCCGCGCCCGCGGCCGGCGCCCGCGTGATTCATCCTAATCGCGTCGAGTCGTTGACATTCGACGGATCGTCGAATTATCCTCGGATCGTCGCGAATCGTCCGATTATAATCGTCCTTCGGGACGGTGGAGCGAGCGATTCGAGGAGGTTCGTCTTAAATCATTTGACGAAGCCTGCCCGCGAGAGTGGTGACGATAAATTAATTAAATCGTCCTCGGCGGGGCCGGCTCTGATAGAGTTATTTTACGTTAAGTGAAATATAAGTCGAGTCACCTTGAAAACCAAGAACCCGGCGCGGTAATAGACGGTGCCGATGGTTTTACATACGCGAGCCGTCCCGAGAATGCTGTACCTACCATTCACGCGCACTTCCTTACAAAACACCGATTTAAACGGTGATTTACGGTCAGAGGACCGCCAGGATCTAAACATAAATCCGGCTATTTGGATACTTGTCAATTGAGTCCATTTGCACGCTTCAGTTGGCATGTGTACTGACAGTTTATGACGAGAGGACTCGGAATGGTGGTGATTCGCCGGTGACTCGGCGGTTCACGGATCAGGTGGAAAGCTAGAAATACCGTGACACGACTACAGGTCTCAAAGGACTCGAGAAATCACGCGCGATCCTCGATGCTCTGCACCTCGTGCGTGCGATTCTACCGACTCGGAGCATTCCTTGAG